AGAAGACAGGTAACTGTAGCCTCCACTGAGATCTACAGATGTGTCTGGGCTTTGATCCAGTGATCTTCTTGGTTCCATGAAACTATTTTCTGACTTTTGCCTCCCAGTTTTAACCCATTACTGCAGTTTATAAAGTATATATAATATATTTACATTTTTCTTCTTCTTCTTCTCAGAGTCCAGTCCACAGATGGACAACACCACAGCTCTCACGTTCATAATGACCGCGTACTCGGCCATGGAGAACTACAAACACTGGATGTTCTGTGTGTTCCTCCTGCTGTATGTCATTACTGTTTTCCTGAATGTTCTGCTCATTACAGTCATACACCAGAACAAAAAGCTGCATCAGCCCATGAACGTCTTCTCCTGCGCTCTGTCTCTGAATGAGCTGTACGGCAGCACCGCCCTGCTGCCCACCATCATGGCTCTGCTCCTGTCCCAGACCTATGAAATGACCGTCAGGTGGTGCATGATGCAGGTGTTCTTCCTGCACACGTACGCAGCCGCGGAGTTGTGCATATTAGCTGTGATGGGCTACGACAGGTACATCGCCATCTGTAAACCTCTGCATTACCACGGCCTCATGTCCAACTCCAGGGCGGCCATGATCAGCGCGTTAGCAGCCGTTTACCCCATGTTAGTCTTCGGGAGCTTCTTCTCACTGACTGTGCAGATCAGCATCTGTGGAAATGAGCTGCACAAGTTGTACTGTGTGAACATGGAGCTGGTGAAAAACTCCTGTTCGTCCTTCTCATACATTAGTAACGTGGGCCTGCTGCTGCTGCTGATCCTGGTGGTGCCTCAGCCGGTCATGATTGTTTTCTCTTATGTTAGGATTTTAAAAGTGTGCAGGAAACTGTCGCGGGAGTCTCAACGCAATGCCCTGAAAACCTGCCTGCCACACCTGCTGTCCCTGTTGAACTACACCATCGGTTCCACCTTTGAGATTCTCCAAACCCGGTTCAACACAACACACGTCCCCATAGAAGCACGCATTTTCCTGTCCCTGTACTTTCTCGTTACTCCCCCCATCGTTAACCCGGTGCTGTACGGACTGGGCACTAAGCTGGTCAGAGACCACATCCTCAAACTGTTCATCAGATACAAAGTCCTGACCACACTGATAGCCAAAGCTTTAGTATAAAACTGTTCGTGCCCCGCAGTGACCCTCGGTTATTTTTAGCCTCCCCCTCAGAATTTGAAATAAAGATATTTTTAATAAAACTGTTAATGAAGTCCTTAAGTGTAGTAGTGTGTACTGACAGCTGTCCAGCTGATGTTGATGATAATGACTGTGTCTGTGTTCAGTAGTAACCACAGACAGTAACAGGTTGATTTAAC